ATGTCAAGTATCTGAGGTCAGATTTTAACTCAGGTCCTTCTGACTCCAAGGCTGGTGCTCTATCACACCACCTAGCTGCCCCTCTCAAGAGTTTTTGTAGCCAAAAAAGACCATTATCCAGTGGCTGACCTCTCAGTGAGGAACTTCTACATGCTGAGCTAATCTGTCACTCCTCAGGTCCACAAACTGCTTTCCATGTTAGTGATGCCTATTAGATCTTGAATTCTGCAGGTATAATTTTCAAAAACCCAGGGCCACCTCTATACCACAAGGAGGCATCAGAGAACATTTTAATGGACAATTCTTTTGTATTTTGCCTTATTTCCCTTTCCCCTTATTAATCTTATAATGATCCTCTTTTTAAAAAATTAGTTGTATTGAATCAAGAAAAGATGTATTCTTAACATTATGTGGTTGCTTCTCTCCCTTTGAGTCTTTTAGGTGCTTATACCAGGAACAAGTATAAGGAGCTCACATCTCCACTCCTCCCCTTTTCTCTTTGGGAGATCTTTGAAGAAGGAGTCCGTAGTCTGAGGTAATTTGCCCAGGTTTCCTAGAGGATTGCCAGATATGGAAAGAATAGAAATAAAAAGGGTCTCTTCCCAAAGTCCAAAAGACTTAGAGGGAAGAATCAATCTGATGAGAAGAAACCCCATCCAGGTATTGAGAAAGGAAGAAGGTAAAGGGCCACTCGTGAGCCCACCTAGAATGGAAGACGGATATGATTTAGGTAACCAAGTAAGAGGTGTACCAATGCACTGGAGGAGAACCTTTATGATTGGAGGTACTTGATGCCCTGGACATGTAAAGAGAAGCAGCATCAACACCTGAGACTCCAGTGCAATTTCTCTATGACTAAGATCCTTGTGAGCTGGAACTTTCTGCTATAGGAGAGCAGGACAATGGGGAACCACAAAGTAGGGCTAAGGCCAGGATCCATGACACCTTCTGGGAGTGGAGTATAAACAACAATATCAAAAAGGACCTACAATTCCTGCTAAGAGCAAGGGACAGGAATCAGTAGGAAGAAAGTTGTTGGTGAAGGAACAATGAGGCAGAAAACACTGGCTTTTGAGTGACATGTTGGAGTGACGAGTAATGTTACAATTTAAGGGAACTGTACAGGTCAGAGGTGGAGGGTTTTCTTAACAGTCTTAGAGCTCCCTTGTTACTGAGATACTAAGAATAAAAGAATCTTTTACTGCGTAAATAAAACCATTCAATGTTTTAAAGCCTTATGAGCCTAAGTGCTTGTTAGGGAAATTGGTGGTTACCCTTGTAAGAAAGCCAGCTACTGAAGTTCTTATGTTCCACTTGGATTGAAGAAATGAGTCAGATAAGTAGGGGATCCTCAAAGTATACTGGAGACTTCATATCAAGAGCTTCAGATACAAGGGTTCTACCTAGGTCAGGGGGAAAGTTAATATGTCCAGAAGTTAGGCATGAATGTCAGAGGCAAAAATGGAGATAATTTTTTAGAAAGAAGAGAATCTCCAGCAGAGCAACTTAGGGTTTGGCTTGAGTACTGTTCCCTTCCTGCTGAGGGAATTTCCATTTCTTTTTCATATCATAATTTGCAGCAAGACAAACAAACACACAATCAAAGACACAAACAGAAGAAGAAATGCAAGGGAGTGAAGTGAGCAGAACCACACAGGAAGAGTAATATTATACAATGATCAACTGTGAATGTCTTAATTATTCTCAGCAATATAAAGATCCAAGACAATTCCAAAAGAATTAGGATGAAAAATGCTATCTACCTCCAGATAAAGAACTGATGGAGTCTGAATGCAGATTGAAGCATACTATTTTTCCTTTTCTTTATTTTCTTCACAAGGTTTTTTTTTTTTTGGTCTGTGTTTTCTTTCACAACATGACTAATATGGAAATATGTTTGCAAGATTGCACATGTGTAACCTATATCAAATTGCTTGCCATCTCAGGAAGGGGGGAGGAAGGAAGAGAATTTGGAACTCAAAATTTTTTAAACATGAATGTTTAAATTTGTTTTTTCATGTAATTGGAAAAAATAAAATATTATTTTTTTAAAAAAAGAAGAAATGCAAGGATACCAAGACAGAGACATAAACAAGGAGTTTGATTCTATTTGACTTTTTTAATTTTTTGGATCAAACCTGATAACTTTCTCCTTCATCGTGTTTACTCAGTATCTGGGGATACATAGGAAGAAAGAAAAGAGGCTTCCCCATGGAAAAACCAAGGCCTAGAGACAATTCTCCTGACAGTGACCAATGTACTATATGATGCGGACTTGGCTCTGGGTTGGGTGGGAGGAGCTCAGGTGATGCTTTTCATTGAGGTCATCTCCATAGCTCCTGAAGTTGTGGAACTCCTCCATAACCAAATTTTAACCTCACTGCCACTCTGTTAATCATTATCTCTTTGAATTTTTCCATGACCATTTATATGACCTATTCCACGATCCACATTTTGGCCCTCATGGCCTTCTCCTTTGTGATCTTGTCTATGATTCATTCCATGGTGGATTTTCATAGCTTTTTCTATGGTGTCCTTTATGTCCGTCTTCATGATTTCTTCCATGGTTCTCTCCAAGACTACCTTTAAGATCTTCATGTACTAGTCCTTGCCCCTCACTATGATATTCACAATGTCCAAGCCCATGACTACTTCCAAGGCTCATCCAGTGCTTCTCTCTAATGTTCATCCCATGTTTCCCTCCAAGATCCATTCCATGTCTCAATCTGTGATCTAGGCTATGGACAACCCTAGATTCCAGATCAAGGTCATGGCTGTGGAAGTAATAAGTGCTTCTGTTGAAAGGATTTCCCAGAGGCAGAGTACAATCCCTCTAGAAGAGAAAAAAAAGTAAGGTTTTTAAAGAAATGAATACTTTCCCAGGCACTGATCTTAAACTCTTCTTTGGATTCCAAAACTTACACATTGACCCACACCATGGATTTCTTCCTCTCAGTACTATCCTTTCTTCTTGTCCCCAATTCTTTCCATGAATATCCAACTCAGATTTGAGTCTCAGCATTACCATGTAACAGACTCATAATGGGAAATTGGTTTTTCTCTAAGATGTTTCTTTACTTGTAAAAGGAGATGATTAGACTAAATGATATCTGAAGTTTCTTTCACCTCTATATCTGTATGATTACTTTGTCAAAATATTTTGGAGATACCCTGTTTCCCAGAGCTAAGGCCCAGAAAGTAGGCTGTGCCCTTAACTTAGCATAACAATAGTCCTTTGAACTTTGGATGATCTTACCCTCTGGCAAAGTGTATTGCACCAGGTGTTCACTCTGCTCCCTCCCCCACTCCCCCCATTTCCCAGACCTGGGAGCCAACATCCACCACATTTCTGACATGTTCACAATCCCTGTTCCTTGTACCATACTCCTGTTCCCATCACAGAACTCTGGTTCTGTACCCCATGGAGTAATTGTGACCCCCCAAGACTTGGAACAATACTATTCCCATAGCACCTGTGGGAACAGTTAATTCAAGACCTCTAAATGATTATGTCATAATCCAGCCCAGTATATAAGTACTGCCAACGTGTTAAACCATCCTACTCAAGAGGACTTCCACTTACAAGTGTTTTCCTCACTCTGAAAATAATGATTCCTGACACACCTGCCTCTGGCCTGCGCTGTTTTGGCTCCATTCATTCCCAGTTTAGAGACTGGTCCAGTCTGGACTGCATTCAAAATTCTGTTGACAACTATCATTTCTCTTTCTGATTATAATAATACTCCATGACTATCATAGTCTTTTATTTCTCTTTCTAAATCTTTCTTTCCCTATCCTTTTAAATTTTTGCATTTGACTTTGTATCTATCTTTTTTTTTGTCTCCAGATAGCTCTCTATTCTTGTGCATTTTCCTCCCTTAATATTTTTTATTCTTCTTAAAGGGAGATTCTGACTGACTATCAATAAGACATTTATTCTCATTTGTGTTCTCAATAGAAGAATGAAATGAGGTAATCCATCCACAGTCTTGCTGTCTATGACCACTGGAACACATTTGCAAGTTAAATAGTGGAGCAAAACATGCTCTGAGTAATGGAGTATTTGACACTTAAATGAGATAATGGATATAAAGCACTTTCCAATCTTGAAGCACTATATCAATGCCAGATATTATTGTTCTTGTTATTATAATAATAATAATAATAATTATTATTATTAGTCTCCAGCCTGGAAATGAGTTCATTCTCTGAGCCTTCTATGGCACTTGTGCTAGGCTCAAGCAATTTTTATAGAGCAATACAGTGGTGTGCTTTAACAACTGAGCTCTGAGATGGGGGTGGGAAAAATGTATGCACACACACTTATCAGTTTAATCTACATAATTAATTCTTTCTTAAGTCTGGACAATTAAAGGAATAAATCAAGCCCTGATTGTCAATGATTGGTAACAAGCATTTAGTATCAATGCTCACACTGAAATTTTAACAAATGGCTCTCACAAATGGCTCCAGCAAATCACTGAGTGTGTAACTCTGAACTAATGAGGAACATATTCTCACCAATTAGTAAGTGGCTTAAAATAAGAATCTCTCCACAATGGTTTTCTTTTGTTTTCACTGACATTCCCATTCTCTCTTTCTTTCTGGTCCTGTGCCTACTTTCTCCTCTCCATCTTTCTTTCCTATCTGTATCAACCTGATTCTCCCTTTTCCTCTTAATTGTAGTTCTATCTAAGAGATGCAGTGTAATGAAATGGAAATCACAAAAGACTTGAAATAAGAAGGTTCAAATGTTGTGGCTTGAATTTATGGCCTGTGCAACTTTGGGAAGGCACTTGCTCTCTTGAGGTTTCATTTCTCTAACCTGTAAAATATGAGGGTTGGATTAAGGTTTCTTTGAACTTTATGACCCAACAGACTTTTTACAGGTTGCACTTCAGAAAATAGTCTTCTTTCCTCCTGACACACCCATTTACTCTCCTCTCCATCAATATCCATACATAATATATGCTATCTCTTGATGATAATTGACCACTCACCAGACAGAAACTGAGTCCCACACAGAGCCCCAAAGCCATTGCAGTTACAGCAAGAGAGATGACGATGATGCTCCAGGGTTTCAAGAGGCTAGAGGGCTTCGTCAGGGAAACAGAAGTGAAGCCTGTTGTTTCCATTTCCATGGAAAATCCTGTAGGAGATGTTGCTCCAGTAGAAGACATAGAAGAACTAAGAGATGATATTTCAGAAGACGAATCTGTTGTGAGTTTCATGACCTCTGATGTTACATGCTGATTACTGGTGGGTGTAGAAGAAATTGCGGGTTGCTCTGTGAGACTTGTTTTTGAAAACGTTGGACCTGATACTGAAGAGGTAGGCACCGAAGTAGCTGTTGTTGCTCCTGAAGAGGAGGATACAGGGATTTCAGACATCTCCAATGTTGTAGCGCTGGCAGAGGCTGAGAGAGTGGTAGATGTATATGTGGGGCTGGTTGATAAATGTGTTGTGGCCAATATTGAAGAAGAATGTATTGAAATGGCTCTTGTTATTCCTGAAGAGGTTACTGGGACTTCAGTTACTTCTGACGTTGCAGTTGTAGCATTGGCTGAAACTGGGAGAGTGGTAGATGTTAGTGTGAGGACTGAAGTTGAAAGTGTGCGTGGTGTTAAAGAGGTAGGGACTGAAATGTTAGTTGTTCTTCCTGAGGAGAAAGTAGTTGGGCCTTGAGACACTTGTGGTATTTTAGTACTAGATGAGAAAGTGGTAGATCTGTCTGTAGAAATTGTTGATAAATACATTGTTCTTGATGGTGAAGGGGTGGGCAATGAATGGGTTGTTGTTGGTCTGAAAGAAAAAATGGGTGGGACTTCAGATATCTTTGTTATTGTGGCATTGGCTGAGGGTGCCAAAGTGATAAATCCCTCTTTGGTGTGTGTTGATAAATATATAAAGGCTGATTTTGAACTGGTGGGCATAGGGGTGGCTTTTGTGGTTTCTGAAGAGAAAGTGGTGGGGATATCAGATGTCATCAAGGTTGTAGCTAAGGATAGTGGAGTGGTGAATCCCTGTGTGGAACTTGGAGTTGAATATGTTTCTCCTGATGTTAAAGATGAGGACACTGGAGTGGATTTTGTTATTCTTGAAAAAAAGGTTGATGGAATTTTAGTTCTCATTATAGCACTGGGTGAGGATGGAAGAGTGATAGATCCCTCTCTGGGACTTGTTGACAAATGTGTTGTTCCTGTTGTTAATGAGGGGGATATGGAAGTGGCTGTTGTTCCTGAAGATAAAATGCTTGGGGCTTCAGATATAATTGACGATGTACCAATGGATGACACTGGGGCAACTGTAAATTCTTGTGTTGGGGTTGTTGCTGAATGTGTTGTACTTGATGTGGAAGAGGTAGGCAGTAAAGTGGTTGTTGTTGTTTTTGAAGAGAAGGTTGATGGGAATTCACTTATCTCTGATCTGGTCATTGTAGTACTGACTGAAGCTGGTAGAATGGCAGACCCATTCATGGGGCTTGTTGATGAATGTGTTGTGCCTGATGTTAAAGAACAGGTAACAGAAGTATTTGTTGTTATTCTCAAAGGGAAGGTGCTTGGGGTTTCAGACATAGCCACTGCTGTTGCAATGGCTGAGACCAGAGTAACTAAAGATCCTTGTTTGGAAGCAGTTGCTGAATGTGCTGTACTTGATATTGCAGAGGAAGTCAATGAAGTTGTTGTTTCTGCAGAGAACATTGTTGGGAATTCCGTTTTCCCTGATCTTGTCATGGTAGCATTGACTAAAGCTGGTAGAGCTGTAGATCCATTCACAGGGCTTGTGGATAAATGGGTTGTGCCTCCTGTTGAAGAGGTGGGCACTGAAGTGGTTGTTATTGTTCCTGAAGGGAAAGTGCTGGGGGCTTCAGACATAATTGATGTTGTACCAGTGGCTGAGTCTATAGTAATTGCAGGCTGTTGTATGTGGGTTGTTGCTGAATGCACCGTACTTGATGTTGAAGAGATGGGCAATGAAGTGGTTGTCGCTGTTTTGGAAGAGAACCTGCTTGGGGCTTTGGACATAACTGATGTTTTACTAATGACTGAGATGGGGCTAACTGTAAATCCTTGTGTGGGAGTTGTTGCTGAATATGCCATACTTGATGTTGAAGAGGTGGGTAATGAAGTGGTTGTTGAAGAAAAGGTTGATGGTAATTGAGTTAGCTTGGATGTTATACTTAAAGCATTGGCTGAGGATGGAGGAGTGGTAGATCCCTCGGTGGGACTTGTTGATAAATGTGTTGTTCCTGATTTTGAAGAAGTGAACAAGGAACGGGCTGTTGTTGTTTCAGAGGGGAAGGTGCTTGGAGCTTCAGACAATTGTGAAGTTTTAGCACTGACTGAGGTTGAGAGAGTGGTAGATCCTTGTGTGGGGATTGATGTTGAATGGGTTGTGCCTGAATTTGAAGTTGTGAGAACTGAAGTGTCTGTTGTTTTTCCTGAGGAGAGAATGGTTGGGAGTTCAGACACCTGTGCTGTTGTTTTACTGGCTATGGCTGAGAGAGTGGTAGATCCAACTTGGGCAATTGTTGATAAATTTGTTGTGCCTGATGGTGAAGAGTCAGGTACTGAAGTGGTTGTTCCTACAGACAAAGTTGTTAGGAATTCAGTTTTCTCTGATCTTGTCATGGTAGCTTTGACTGAAGCTGGTAAAGTTGTAGATCCATTCACAGGGCTTGTGGATAAATGGATTGTGCCTGCTGTTGAAGAGGTGGGCACTGAAGTGGTTGTTATTCCTGAAGAGAAAGTGCTGGGGGCTTCAGACATAATTGATGTATCAATGGCTGAGAGTGTAGTAGCCGTAAATTGTTGTGTGTGGGGTATTGCTGAATGAGAAGGACTTGCTGGTGAAGAGGTGGTCAATGATGTGGTTGTTGTTCCTAAAGAGAAATTTGTTGGGACTTTAGATACCTTGGGTGTTGTGGTAATGTCTGAGGCTGGGGTAACTATAGATCCTTGTGTGGGAGATGTTGCTGAATGTATTGTGCTTGATGTTGAAGAGTTGAGCAGTGAAGTGGTTGTTATTCCTGAAGAGAGGGCTGTTGAGAAATCAATTTTTTCAGATCTGGTCATTGTAGTACTGATTGAAGCTGGTAAAATGGCAGGTCCACTGACAGGGCTTGTTGATAAACGTGTTATGCCTGATTTTGAAGAGATGGGCACAGAAGTTTTTGTCAGCATTCCCAAAGAAAAGATCCTTGAAGCTTCAGACATAGCTGTTGTTGTTGCAATGGCTGAGACTGGGGTGTCTGTAGATCCTTGTGTAGGTGTTGTTGCTGAAAGTGAAGTACTTGATGCTGAAGAAGTAGTCAAAGAGGTGGCTGTTTTTGTTTCTGAGGAGAAAATGGTTGGGATTTTAGACATCTCTGATGTTGTGACACCGTCTGAAGTCTGGGTAACTGTAGATACTTCTGTGTGTATGGTTCCTGAAAGAATTGTATTTGAAGTTGAAGAAGTGGTCAATGATGTGGTTGTTGTTCCTGAGAACAACTTGCCTGGGGCTTCAGACATAACTGACATTGTGCCAATTGCTGAAACTGGGGTAACTGGGAATCTTTCTGTGGGGGTTATTACTGAATATGTGGTACTTGAGGTTGAAGAGGTGGACAATGAAGAAGGTGTTGTTCCTAAAGAGAAAGTGGTTGGCACTTCAGATATCTCTGTTGTCGTGCCACTGACTGAAGTTAGGAAAGTTAGGAAAGCCTCTTTGGGGTTTGTTGATAAATGTATTATGCCTGACTTTGAACTAGTGGGCATGGAAGTTTTTCTTGCTTCCGAAGAGAAGGTTGTTGGGACAGCAGATGCCAGTGATGTTGCAGCACTGGCTGAGGGTGGTGGAGTGGTAAATCCCTGTATGGAGTTTATAGTTGAAGATGGTTTTCCTGATGCTGAAACCATGGGCAATGAAGTGGCTTTTGTTTTTGAAGAGAAGGTTGATGAGATTACAATTCTCTCTGATGTTATAGTATTGGACAAGGATGGAAAAGGGGTAGATCTCTTTGTGGGGCTTGTGGATAAATGTGTTGTTCCTGATGTTAAAGAGGTGGACATGGAAGGGGCTGTTGTTGTTCCTGAAGACAAGGTGCTTGGCACTCCAGACACCTGTGAAATCGTAGCACTGGCTGAGGTTGAGAGTGTGGTAGATCCTTGTGTGAGGATCGAGGTTGAATGAGTTATGCCTGAGGTTGAAGAGGTGAGAACTGAAGTGTCTGTTGTTTTTCCTGAGGAGAAAGTAGGTGGGACTTCAGACATCTTTGGTGTTAGAGTGCTGGCTGAGAGAATGGTAAATCCATCTGTGGAAGTTGTTGGTAAATGCCTTGTGCCTGATGGTGAAGAGTTGGGTACTGAAGTGGTTGTTGTGGTTCCTGAAGAGAAATTGGTTGGGACTTCAGTTATCTTTGTTGTTGTGGCACTAGCTGAGATTGGGGGAACTGTAGATCCTTGTGTGGGTGTGCTTGCTGAATATATCATAATTGATGTTGAAGAGGTGGGCAATGAAGTAGTTGCTGTTTCTGTTGTTCCTGAAGAGAAAGTGATTGGGACTTCAGATAACTTTGTTGTCATGGCACTGGCTGAGGTTAAGGAAGTGGTGGGTCCCTCTTTGGGGCTTGTTGATAAGTGTGTTATGCCTGATGTTGGACGGGTAGACATGGAGGCGGCTATTGTTGTTCCTGAAGAGAATGTTGTTGGGACATCAGATGCCAATGTTGTAGCAGGGGCTGAGATTGGGGGAGTGGTAAATCTCTGTGGGGGACTTGTAGTTGAAGACAATTTTCTTGCTGTTGAAGACTTGGGCATTGTCATGGCTTTTGTGGTTCCTGAAGAGATGGTTGATGGAACTAAGATTCTCTCTGATGTTATAATTATAGTACTGGCCGAGGATGAGAGAGTGGTAGATTTCTCAGTGGGGCTGGTCGATAAATGTGTTGTGACTAATATTGATGAGGTAGGCACTAAAGCGGTTGTCATTGTTCCTAAAGAGAAGATGTTAGGTGCATCAGACACAACTGCTGTTGTAGCAATGGCTGAGGCTGGAGTAACTGTAGATTCTACTATGCCGGCTGAGTGTGTTGTGCTTTCTGTTGAAGTGGTCGGCATTGAGCTGGCTCCTGTTGTTCCTAAAGGGAAAGTGATTAGAAATTGAGTTACCTCTGATGTTTTCATTTTAGTACTGGCTGAGACGGGGTATCTATAGATCCTTGTGTGGGGACAGTTGTTGAATATGCTGTACTTGTTGTTGAAGTGGTGGACGATGAATTTGTTGTTGTTCTCAAAGAGATGTGCCGTTGTAGCACCAGTAGAGCTAAGGAGAGTGGTAGATCCACCCATAGGCCTAGTTAATAAATATCTTCTACCTGATGTTGAAGAGGTAATCACTAAAGTGGCTCTTCTCGTTCCTGAAGAGGAACGTGTTTTTACTTGTGTGGTTTTCTGCTGTGATTTTTTGGAACAAAATATCTTCGTTGCTATCTTTTGTAGACTATTAGAATTTATTTTGTATCTGGTTATGTAATATAATAGACTATTCTTTTTCTATGGAGAAACATTTTTAAACTGTATTTGTCCCTGTTATTGTATTGGACTTTAAGGCTGATTTTTTTCCTTTCATTTGAACCACTAAAATCTATATGGATTATTGTGTTTCAAAATTAAGGTAAACTGAGGCACAAAGTTCTGAGCACATTCAATTTATTGGGAAGTCTAGCAATTATTAATAAAAAAAAGGTCTTTCAACTCCTCAGTCAGCTAAAAAACCACAAGGTGGAGTTTACTAGCCTTCAGAACGTTTTGGGAAGTAGAAGTTTTGGGAACATAAAACCAGGAGTATCACAGATGGAAAACAATATAATCAGTTTGAATTATCACAGGTTACAAAAACAATATGATTGGCTGGATATTTGGGGCCAGCAACAGCCCTTCCTTCCATCCTACTGTCAATAAAGTTTGATTGACAGAGTGCATCTGCTCCTTAGTTGAACAGAAATGACAGATTTCTTGGCACCCACCTGCATTCTGTAAGGCTTGTTAGTAAAATATCAGAGCTCCCTTAGTTGTACATGGGTATTCAATGCTGTATGGAAATAAAATGTTTCTTTGTGTTAAGGTGATTTATTGGAAAAACTGAATATTAAACTTAACTCAGAGGGCAAAATTGAACTTCTGGACCCATGAACTTTCACATTCATTTTAGAGACAAATAAACATAGCTCAGACCATTACAGAATAGAATCAACTATAGAATAGAATTAGATACAAAATACTAAATCAAGATTTGATTTTTTTCAGAACATACACATTCTTTTTCAACAATGTAGTTATAAAGTATAATAAAATTTTATAACTGAATGAAATGAAATTATAGTATGTAAGCTTGGCCCCAAAGAAAAGAGATGGGAATTCCCTTTCCTCTTTTTTTTTTTTTTCTGAGGTGGCAACTATTGGTGCAGAGCACCATCCAACATGACTGATTGCTAATTTTGCTAATATGCTTTTGTTCTTCTTTTCTTTTTTATATGAGACTCATCTCTTTAGGGATAGTGGAAGGAAAATATTGAGAAAAGAATAACAATAAAACTTTAAAAGCCTGGAATAAAATACTTTTGTGTCCCTAGTGGGCATGATAATGAGGCCCTGTAGATTCTTCTGTGATGTGCTATTTTGGCAAATGAATCCATCCTAGTGATTGCTGTCATCATCTCACTATTAGGTCTTGTGTTGCATAACTTTTAATATCAGTGCTTTTGTTGATATCTTCTGTAGTAATGGGCAAAAGATGGCCTCTTTTACCTACTCCAAAAAAAAAAAATCAATCTGGGAGGGGAATATCCTCAGGGTTTCTGGCCAGAACAGAAACAATTGCTATTTACCCTCTGAGCCAACAAAACTCAAACAATGACCAAGTGAGGCTTGGATTGGGACCCATTATTGGCCAATCAGTGAGAACCACTATCATTGGTGGCTAGGTAGAGCAATGGATAGAGCACTGGGCTTGGGTCAGGGAGACTGGAGTTCAGGGAAGGCTTCAGACATTAACTAGCTGAGTGGGCAAACCAAATAACTTCTGTTAGCCTCAGTTTCCTCATCTATTAAATGGGGACAATAATAACACCTATTTCCCAGGGTTGTTGTGAGGATCAAACTAGGTAATATTGTTAAAGCTCTTAGCACAACTGCCTGGCACACAGTAGATGTTTAATAATTACTTGACTCCTTCCTTCCTTTCTCCAGAGATACAGAAATTCCAAAAGGAAAGTTTGCAATAAACATTTGATGACACCTTTGGTACCCCCATTTTCCCATTGCTTGACTCTGCTGCTTCTGTTCTCATTCCTTTCTCAGGATTCAGGTACTTGGTTTTATTCTAGTCTAAACTCCCGTCTTGTCTAATCCTGACCTTTCCTGCCAATCCCTGTCATAATTGCACATCCTATACACATTGCTTTCAATATGCCAGTATCTCTGCACCCATCCATATTGATCTTCCCCTTGTCTCAGACCACTTCCTGGATATGCTCTAGGAACTGATTTTTTATTGGGATTACCATACAGGTTAAATCTTTTGTCCATTTTAAGGAATAAGTTGACTTTGGAATTTTTGCATATATTGAATTAGGTTTAGGCAGAGTTTAGGCAGAGCCATAATTTTGTTTAAGGATGAGGAGTGTAGCCATGACAACAAGCTAACCAGTCCCAGACCCTCTTGTTGGACTATCAAAAGACCTGTCTCCCTTTACCTGTAAAAGGGTAGGTCACTGGTTAGGTATCATGATCTCCTTGTGTCAGGTCCCGGGATGTCAGGGAGAGCAATATGGAAGATTCATCTCCTCCCAATTCATGTTTTAGATGAAGAAACTCTAGCTTAATGAGGGAGATAGGTTTAAGGTTCTGAAGTGTTAGAATAGAATCTAGACCTGCCTTCTTTCCATCTGAGATCCTTTCTTCTGGGCCAAGGGAAAATACCAAACTGATTCACTGACTGGACTCTTGACCATGAAAACCCAACTAAGCAGTTAATCAGAGTATTAAAATAAATCCTACTTAGTTCAAGTCAACAGCTAGGGCATGGTAAGAAGAGCACTAGGTTTAGACTAAAGAGATGTTGGTTTAAATCCTGGCTCTGACACTTACAAGTTGTTGTTTAGTCAGTCATGTCTGACTTTTTGTGACCCCATTCAGGATTTTGTTAGCAAAGATGTTGTATTGGTTTGCCATTTCCTTCTCTAGCTCATTTTAAGATGAGGAAACTGAGGCAAATAGGTTTAAGTGACTTGCCCAGGGTCACACAGCTACTAAATGTCTGAGGTCAGATTTGAACTCAGGAAGATGAGTCTCCCTGACTCCAATCCTAGCACTCTATGCACTTCACCACCTAGCTGCCTCCACTTACAAGCTATATGACCTTAAATAACTTACTTACTGGCCAAGCTTCATTTTCCTCATTTGGGATAACATTCATGAAGTACCTACATCACAAGGTTGTTTTAAAAAAGCACTTTAGAAACTTTCAAGTATTGCATAAAGGTGAGTTATCAATAGCAGTACCAGCCTCCCTGTAAGGAGCCAATATAGTCTAGAAGTAGAGGGAAGAAGCTGTCTCTGATACTGACCCTGAAGTGAACCTCAGTAGCACTTTCCAGGGAATAAAAAGATAGTGAGACTTCAATGTTCTAAATTTGTGAGTTGCCTTGGCCATGAGTGTTCCCTGTCTCACTTCCATTGTACTTAATTTTATGTCTACTCTTACTCCAACAGACTCTGTGTGTATTTGGGGCAGAGTATTCCCCAAGTGCTGGTTTTTCCTCCCTTAAATGCTATCTAACTATTGCTCTTGCTGTGGAGTAAATGCTTTTGCTAAAAAGCTTAATAGAGTCCACTCATTGATTGTTAAAGGGAAGCAAATTAGTTGGGGCTCATGAGCTACAGTACAGGAGGACAGTCACCCATAAAGTTACCCTAGAACCTGAGGGAGGAGGCACCCCTTTGGGGAACCAATCTTCCAATGCCAGTGTGATTGGCACCGGGGGAGTGAGCCCATAGGGAGTTATTATTGTGGAGGAGCCCCTTCAGAGAGTTGGAGATGGGTTAAATGTTTGGACAACAGGATTACCAAAGTAGACAGAAGAGTCTCTTGTTACCAGGGATAAGATCAAAGTGCTAGGAAGCAAGTTAGTTTGCTCCCTACCTCAGCTGATCCTCATCTTCCCTCATAGGTCCTTAGGAGTTCTTTCCTCCAAGCCCCTTTCCTTAAGATTGATTAACTCACCAAGTCCTAAGAGCCCAAGAAGAATCAATAGCAGAGTCCAGGAGGTAGGAGAGAGGTTTCCTTTCTTCATCTCAAGATAATAGGTGTCTGGGGCCCACAGAATTGACAATGGCCAAGGAGGAGGAAGGCCAGGATTCAAATGTGTGGGTTCTTGGTGGAGATGCCAGTTTGCCAGCACCGAGCTGAGGGCTGGAGAACAATGCCTGGTGGAAAGGGGGAAACAAAACCAGAGGCTGTCAGCTTGACACCTGAGTACCATAAGATCTCACTACAGTTTTTCTTCTTTTTTTCACCTAATTGTCTGTGTCATTTATAGTCAGTTTTGGGGAGGGGAGGCCTGGATTTCTGGGTCCTCCCTCCCTCTAGGGAGGGGCAGCTCTGGGTCTTTTCTTTGTCACTTCAGAACAGAGAGAGGTTGAGATGTAAACTTCTGTTTGGGGACAAAATATGAAAAGGGTCAAGGGGAGGAGGAGGAGAAATGGCACAATCATAGGGTGCTAGCTCTGAGGAGGATCAGGAAAGGGAAGAGAACAAGGGCATCAAAGTTGACAGGGCTGAGGGACCCACCCTCTGAGCCAGACACTGGGTCAGAAACCAGTTTTATCTGGGGAGTTCTTTAGTGAGGTCCTTGTGTGGGGGGCAGGGTAGATAACAGGGAAAGAAAGAAGGGTTTTGGGTTTGAAAGCCTGTGGATCCTTGTTCCTAGAAAGCTGTGGGCTAGGGCTACAGGATGCTGCCATTCAAAGTCATTTTTTGTTTTTGTTTTTACTATTATAAACGTAGCAGTGGTGATCAGGGAATATACTGATTTGCTGGAAAAGTCTCTTTTCATCCCCCACCCCCCATCATAAGGGTGGAATTATTTCCATAGCTCTTATAGTGGAAGGGGGATAGGAGTTCCTCCACAGATCTGTGCTTCCTTATGATCAGTCATTAATTATCTTTGAATGCTCAAATGTCATAGGCTCCCATCCTTAGGGTGAATTCCTTCCCCACCCTTCCAACCCTTGTCTCTCTTGGGGGTGAAGGTGGGGAGAGGGGAGGTACAGTGAGGGAAGGGTGATTGGTATTAGAGCTCAAGGGTTCTTCTAAGCATCGTGGTTAATAACGTGGTTGAGATGGGATGTAAAGAAAAGCAGAGAGGCACTGTTTCCAATGTTCTGTCAACCAGGCTGGAACCCAAACCTGTGGGTGGCCAGAACTAAACAAAGCAGGCTAGAGACAGGAGAGTCAATGAATTTCCAGAGCAGGCCCTAGAGTCTAAGTCACAAGAGGGAAATAGAGACTGCATCGGGGGGGAGGGGTGAAGGAGGTGGCATTGTCTGGTGGGGCAGACTGATTGCTGGATCCTGAGAAGAGAGCTAAGGGCTTTCAGGAGAGAACTAAACATTTAGGGCTTGAGTCTGTGCACATTGGTGACCACTGAAGATTAATGAGATTCAATTAAATTCTGCAAGCATTTATTAAGTAATTGTTTTGCAGAGAACTGTGTTTGACACTTAGAAGGATATTTAAATAATACAAGGTCTCTGCCCTCATGGAACTTACAGTTTATTAGGAGGGAAACATATACACAATTATAATTACAATAATATGTAAGTGCATTGGAAGTGCTAAGTGCTATTATGGAATGTGAGAGGGAAAGTTGGAGCGGGGTGCAGGGAGGCGATCAGAGAGGAGGTAGCATTTGAGGCAATCTACATTCAAATCTCTGCCTGATACCTATTAAACTCTGTCATTTAACTTTTCTGGGGCTCAATTTCCTCATCTTTAAAATGAGGAAGTTGGACATGATGACCTCTAATAACTTGGTCTAAGTACTTGAGGCCACCAGTCTCTGCCCTCCTGGATTCTAGACCCTGCAGTCTGTAGCACAAAGAAAAATATGGAGCAGCTCATGGTCTCACACCTAGAACTTTAACAGAGGAGGCCAAGGACTGGGCTGGACCTATGCTGCTAGAGAGCACTGATGGATCTGGCACTTAGTGTACAGCAGATGGAACCCAGAAAGGGGAGACCACCCAAACATCTTGGAAGAAGATCTCTGGGACTCCTGGTGCCAGGCTGTTTCTAAAAGTTTCTAAAGTTTTGCCAGACTGCTGCAGAGCAGTATCTTAGAGTCCGGGGGTTGGAACCTGTCAGCTCCTCTCCCCATGTATATTAGGATTCCCTAAAAGACAAGCAGGTGATAGCCACAGCCCATACATTAATCCTTAGCAGAGTGATGCAAAAACAGTTAGAGAGGCCTGGAAAACCATTGTCTTCACAGCTCCCAGCTCCTATTTCTCTCAGAGAGCTAGGTGTCTGACCCCTCCCCTCCTCTACCCACCCCCCTTCTCCTCTCTCCTTACTCATCTAGAGCCCAGGAGTCCTGTCCTCCACCCTTCAGTCTTGCTCCTCTATTGGGACCCAGATAGTCTATCCCAGTCCTCTCTCTAGGGAACTCCCATTCCACAGACATGACTCTCTTCTTACCACTTCAAGGGCCTGCTCCTCACCCCTGGTCGGCTCTATTTCCCTCCTTTCTCACTACTCATTAAGTAATTTCTCCTAATGAAGTATCAGCCCCAAATCTTATGTGATGTTCTAACCCAAAAAGGAGTCTGGACCACTTGATATTCTGATTAATGTCATAGGTTCCCATCCTTAGGGTGAATTCCTTCCCCACCCTCCCACCCTTGTCTCTCTTGGGGGTAAAGGTAGGGAGAGGGGAGGTACAGTGAGGGAAGGGTGATTGGTATTAGAGCTCAAGGGTTTTCCTAGGCATTGTGGTTAATAACGTGGTTGAGATGGGATGTGAAGAAAGGCATTCTTGGCAGAGACCATTAGGGTGTTAGAGGTTGGATTTGTTCTGGAACATTTGTTCCAATGTTCTGTCAACCAGGCTGAAACCCAAACCTGTGGGTGACCAGGACCAACAAAGCAGGCTAGAGTCAGGAGAATCAGAAATCAAACAGAGGTTTAATTTCAAAGTGAGGAAAATGCTTGTAAGTAGAAGTCCACCTTCCTGAGGAGTGCTTATAGCTTATGGCAGGGGTAGGGCTTTTATACATGAAAACCACAAAAAGGTGGGACCTAACACAGTCCTGAGTAAATAGTTCCCGTGATTGGCATCTCTTGGGACAATACAGGCATTCTTGGGTCCTGTGGGAACAGTCTCTGAGTTACTAGAATCACTGAGTTTTGTGATTGTCTTAAGTCAATAGGGTCATTGAGCCTTATGATTGTTCAGTGGGATACAGAACCAGAATTAGAGTGCCAGGAGCAGGAGTGAAGCACCTGGTTTGGTTCACTTAGCACGTCAGGAAATTTAACTGCTCACATTCTACTGCAGCATATTGGCTGCAGTACTAGCTCCCCTGAGGTCCCCTGGGAAATGGATCAAAGCAATAAAAAAATTATATGATTTTGCCAGAGGATGAGATCATCCAGAGGGTAGGTGCAAAGGATTGTTGTTATGCCATGCTCAGGGCACAGCTTATTTTCTGGGCCTTAGCTCTGGAAAACAGGGTGTCTCCTAATATCTTGACAGTTGTACCCCCAAAATTTCAATTGGTGGACACCCAAGCCCTTTTCTTTAATTCAAATAAGATGTGATTCTAAGGCACAACTCTAAATAGTTGTGCCATTTTAAAGCCCCAGAACTGGCCAGATGTTTACCTAGCGATCATTATTAACAGCCTTTTTTTTCATGGCTGTAGCACCAGCACCTCCTACCATCTTCTTTCTTAGCATAATGGTGAATGCCTTGTTCTGAAGACTTGGGTTTCCTAGGAAAATTATATAGGGTTTTTTGTCTTTGTTTTTTCTATTATAAATGTAGCAGTGGTGATCAAGGCATCTATTGATTTGCTGAAAAAGTCTCTTCTCATCCCTCATCCCCCCATCATAAGGATGTAATTATTTCCATAGCTCTTACAGTGGAAGAGGGATGGAAATTCCTCCACAGGGCTGTGCTTCCTTATGATCAGTCATTAATCATCTTTGAAACAACCACACACCACCACCTCCAGCCCAAGAGACCATTTCAGAGTTGTCTGAGTCATCCCAACAAGACCTATCTCTTATGTTGAAGAGCCAGAGCACATGGCCCATGCTCAGACTAGCAAATCTGGGTTTTCCTAATACCCTTGCTTCACAAATTTTTTCCATTTGGAGGGTTTATTTCATTGTGTTGAAAGAACTGGGGATGTTGAGCCTAGAGAAGAAAGGATTGAGGTAGGGTGGGGGACAGGACCTCATAGCTGTCTTCAAGTATTTAAAGGGCCAGAAGATATGAGTTAAGTTTCAGTTATTCGATTTACTCACCAGGAAAGTCATGTCCCATCAGGGTTGGACTTCTTCATCTCTAAGGTTCAGTTCTATGATTCTGGGTAATCAGTATGGTGGAAAAATTCAAAACTATATCATAGAGGAATTTGCAACTTTGGGTAATTTGTCTGATGAACAGAAGATTTAAGGGGAATATGAAAACTATCTTCCTGTGCTCTACATGGAAGAGCAATTAAGTTTTTTTTTTTCAGCTTAGTCCCAGGTTGAAAAACTAGAAGCAAATCTTTGGCTTCACCTAAGAAACATTTCCTAACAACATTGTCCAAATAGTGCAACAGACTCAAGAGGTAATGAATTCCCCTTCATGATGGACAGCTAGATGATGGAATGGATATAGTGTTGGTCCTGGAGTCAGGAAGAATTGAGTTCAAATCCAGTTTCTAACATTTACTTTCTGTGACCCTGGACTTACTTAACCTGTTTTCCTCAGTTTCCTCAACTGTAAAATGGGGATAAAAGTAGGTCCTACCTCCCAGAGTTGTTGTAAGGATCAAATGAAATTATATTTGTAAAATGCTTAGCACAGTGCCCAACACATAGTAGGTGCTTAATAAATGCTTGTCCCCTTCCACCTTCACTCCCCATCATGAGAAACATTTGAAGAGAAGCTCAATAACCTCCTATGTTACTGTTATAGAGGGGATTCTGAGGTAAGAGTTGTAATCTGCTAAGATCCCATCTAGTAGAATATCAGCTCCTTGAGGGCAAAGACTTTCACTTTTTTCTCTATCCGCAGTG